TGTCTGAGTAGGCAATTATTTCAATTCCATCCCGAACTGAAATCTCCGTTTACCAGAGCACATTATTGTCCAACAGGTGTGAAAGAGTTATAAGGAAGTCTGTCAAGATTTATTTCATACATTTTCTAGAGCTCCAAACTAGTGTTTATTTTTGTTTTGGAGCATCAGAGGCTCCAGACATTAATCTGTTCATACTGTAGTAATTTTAGCCATCACTGAGCTCCTAATTTCCCACCAGCAGTTATAGTGATGTGTCTAGCGTGTGCTCTAGCCTCAAAACTTTTCATACCCTTGTGATTAATTACTGTCAGGAGAGGCAGATTCTAGGGATGCATCTGATTGACATCTCATTATGCTTGTGTTTGGTACACATTCTGGTAGATATTTGACTTAAATTGCCTCAGTTTAAGACAAATTCAGACTTGCAAATTTGCCTGAAGCTACGCATTTCTGGGGGGACAGAGGTGGGGAATGCAACAAGTTGCCACAGGTTAACTTACCTTCCACCAAGGTGATCCCACTGCAGTGCAGTTTGTGTTACGAGCTACCCTGTGTACAGCTTTGGGTGTTGTTTTCACTTAAACTGTTAATTGGCAGTGCTAACATTTACAGTGATCTAACGCCATGCAAACTGCATTCCTGCCCTGTGCATCATGTTATCAGATGTATATGCAGGCTCGAGGCAAGATCCACTCGTGTTCGCCCTTTAGACCCTGGTACTCCTAATTGTGTATATCAGACACGAACACCATTAACACCCCAAAGGGTGCTATATCTGACACCCTAGCAGCCCTCTTGCTCTCATTAGTCATACCCATACCAGAGCTGCCTGGGGCCGAGGTGTGGAATGCCAAGAACGTCTGGCGCTCTGGTCAAACTGTCGGTCTTCTCTGCTCTGCTTGGGTTGATCAGGATGTCGAGCTCTGAAGTTTAGATAGTGTTACCGTGGCTTCGTGGTTCATTGCTGCCAGTCAAGAGCAGTCAACAGTATACTTATTCATTAAGTATGAAACATTTTATTTTAACTTAAGCGTACGGCTGAAAAGTGTTTATGGAAAATTGTTGAAAACTGACACTAAACTAAGAGGTCATGTAGAAATCTTTGCAGCATGTCTGAACTGGAGTTCACAGTCTCTCTCTGACAGCTCCAGTAGGTTCTCTCAATTTTTTATGGACTCTGGTAACCAAGCTTCTGCAAGGACGGACATAAAACACGAGTGCATGCTTATCATACATACTGCCCTGTTTACATACTTCTAATTGCATGTATGAGCTCGCAACGCTCGACCAACCCTTTGTCAGTAATAATCAACACATTCACACACCACAAAGTTTGCGTACAGTCAGTTCTGAAGTTCAGATAAATAATTTTTACTGTACATTCGTAGTAAACAGTGATAATGCACTAACACAAGCTGGTCACAGTCTACTCCCTTCTTCTCTTGCACATAAACCAGAGGACCAGAGGATCTGTTGCAATTATCCGGCATTATGGCAGCCAAGTGAACATAAAACCACAGTGTTTCATTAAGTGTTTGTGTATAGTAGAAGAACATCCATCCATCTGTGTAATGTACCACAGTAGCACACAGATCCCGCCATAGTAGCACAGCACCAACCGATGTTGAAACACGACAGAATTGGTTTGACAATGTTAATACTCTGACTTATAAGTGGTTTTTGGAGGTGTGCACATATTTGAACTAGACCGAACATGACCAATAACACTTTGGATCTGTTTATGTTGTGAAAATATTGTGAAGTTATTACTGCAGCGTTATTAAAGGGAATAATGCAATGAATCTGAAGTGTTTAGCTTGTCAGCAATCAGTTTGCTCTTCGTCAGACTTGTTTGTGCTCTCTGTTGCTACACCTGGTCATTGGTGTGTGTCCAACTGCTCTACATCCTGTCCCTGCTGTCTTGAGGAAATCATGCACGGGAAAAGTCCAGCGAACTCGGCTGTAATATTCATCTCTGCTGTATGAGATGGAATTAATGTGCACAGATATCAGGTCTAGCTCATAGTGCAAATATTTCATGCTTTGTGATTTAATAAATGAACATTTCAAAGTAGATTGAGCAACAGAGGAGAGGTCACCAGTCTCATATTTAATGTGAATGTTATCTGATACCGGATGGTGGCTTGTAGATCCCTATTGACAGCGGTGTCAAAGTCTGCTTTCTTTTCACTCTGCTTCAGGGTAGATTTCAGGGTGTGTTCAGCTGTCAGGGTGAGGTTTAGACAAGATCTTGTGATTTTCACATACGGCACGTACACACATGCAGAGTTCATTCTCACATACATTGGACTTTGATCTCTAAACTTGCAGTTGAAGTCTGTGTCACAGTCCAACTCTGTCCATCAGGTGACTGCACGGTACGGGCCCAATATTTTCATAGAGCACAGAGTCGCCTCCTGTGATTTGTATAGATGTCCAGCCATTGTAGGACTGTACTGACCCAGTAAACATCTTTTCAGTCTCAGTGACAAGGAACAGACCAATGAGATATGAATCACGTTACTCGGTGATATCAGCTACATCACTATGGATGTGAATTGTAATAGCCTTGAAGTGCCCTCTGCTAGGCTTCGTTACCTGCTGTAGCAGAGACGGGGAAATGTATAAAAGCAGGAATGCCTGAGCAATATGACACTGATATCCAGGACTGGACTGTCCCTCCGAGGCCCAAGGCTACCAATCCTTTGCTTGCCTCTGGGTTTTTGTTTCTCACTCTGTTTTGGATCAAAATGAAAAATGATTTGATGAGGTCGCTCTGTCAGAAGTGTGTCAGATTACCAGTTGGACAGATGATGTGAATATGATCTGCTTGCTGCAAAACTAGACTTCATTTTCTGCTCTTTTTAAAGTCTCAACATAGTCATAGTGTGCTGCAGACAGTGAATTGCACTGGGAAGCTAAAAGGACAGTATTTACTTCATTTTGTATTCATCTCTCTGAAAGTTCCATTCTTTTAAAAGCTTAAAGTCACATGTTATCATTTGGCTCCAAACGGCATAATGAGCTCAGTCTCTTTGGAACTTTGAGACTGTCACCAGCTGCCTTTTGTAGCCACGTCTAACTGACTAAAGTGACAAGCAGTTTTTGATAGTTTACCCCATCGCTGTTTGACAAATGGAAAAAATTTTGGCTTTTTGTTAAACTGCTGTAAATACTAGTACACTCTGTGGTGTTCAAGAGTCAGTTTGTCTGATGTCCACACCAGGTGGAGGAGCTAAGCTGCAGTGGGAGAAGACACAACTCAGAAGTACCTTTTAGAAGAAGAAATAGAAAAAATGGGTCCCAGAGGCCACTAAAGAAAAGCAAACAATGACATAACATGCAGTTGCAGGCAGCAGTGGATTGGAGGTGGTGAGAAATGGCCATTTGGCCGGGCTGCGCACACTGTAATAACTCAAGTCAAATGCAGGGCTTCTTTTTGTCAAAAACAGGCCATGTTGCTTGTGTGAACTTCAAATGTGTGTGTACTGTCATTGTAAATCCTTAAAACACACAGTGTGCATGCATTCATGTTTGGATAAACTGTAGTAATTACCTTGAGTTATGTTCTCATGAGGTTTAAGTTTAGTTTTGGTAATACCTCTTACTCATTACTGAATATACAATTTTTAGATTTAGTAGCTCAATTTCCAGGATAATGGCAGAATAGCTGTGGGCAGTGAGTGATTCCTTTTTTTCTTTTTTTTTCTTTTTTTTTGATATATTAGGAAAGCCATGGTGCTTTAAATAGGGCTGCAGCAGCAGGACTCTTTCCACAGTAAGTGACATCATTTCTCCGGCCCTGCAGTGGTACTTGAAGTCAACACAGACTAGGGTGTGTCCCAGACACCCACTGACCACAGCATGGGTTTGTTAAGTCACCTCAGCATGTAGAAAGCAACTAGTTCTCCTGATTCGTAGGGTTCAGAGGTCAAATCCAGCTGCAGGCAGCTGATTTTAGGAGGAGGACGCACAGTATAAATGAATGTTGTTTGTGTGTGTGTATGTATATGTGTGTGTTTGTGTGCATCAGAAAAGCATTTATAGTCATCCAGTCCATTAGTTGCATAAGCAGGTTATGTAAAGGGCACAGTTTAGTGTTTGATACAGGGCTACCATTTTAAAGTAAGGAGATGCTGTGGAAAACGAAGCATCTGTTGGCATGTGTCTACTGTATAATGACGTCACCACTAATAACTTTGCTTAATTACTATGGGTGGTCCAATAGGGGCTAAATCTAATCTCCAACCAATAAAACTCTAGCTTCTTTTTTGGCACAGGGATGGAGTGACAAACCGAGGCTGATGACTCTCTGGCTTTAGGCGGTTACGTTTGTTGGGCCATGTCAGAGGATAAAAAATGTTTTAAAACCCTAGTCTACAGAATTTGGCAAGATTTTTTTTGTGGGACTGGGATTTCCCTACATCTGAAGAACTTTCTGACCCCACACAGTTGCTCTTATTCATAAAGCGCTCTCATCCGACTAGGGGTGAATGTGGGTAAAATGTATTGTCATGTTGTGTAATCAAATCCAAAGCTCATTTCAATGATGTGTTCTGTCTTCAAACATTTCGAACTGTGTTGGCACATGAGTTTGGTTGTGGTTCTTTGTATTCACTCATGTCATCACTTCATCAAAGTCACTTCCAGATTCTTAAATTAAAAAATAGTCTTTATTTATTTACAGTGTGTGTTGATGGACATGCAGTTAATTCTGCCATGTCGCACTCAGTTCTGATTGTCTGCTCAGGCTGTAATTTCCTTCTCCCCGTGGGATGAATCTGTTAAAGCATCTTTTCTTAGATGTTGCTTGTGTGTGTGCATGCATGTATGCGTGTGTGTTTGTATGTGAGCTTAATTTCGCAGGTGGGATTTAGGATTATACTGTAATTGTCCTGTTTAAAAACATGCTCACTCCTCCAGCACGGACAATGTTCTCCAATCAGGACCAGACTAAGACTAATCTCATTACTCTCTGTTGTTTATCTTTGTCTTTACAGACGGGACGCATTGACAAATCCTACCCCACAGTGTGTGGTCACACAGGCCCGGTGTTAGACATCGAGTGGTGCCCCCACAATGATCAGGTCATTGCCAGCGGCTCTGAGGACTGCACAGTGATGGTAAGGTTCGCCACACCCTTTCCACCTGAACTCAGCCCTCCTAATTGGTGAAATGTACACATTCTTGAACTGATAATTGACAAGAGACTACTCGCTTTTATTGCGAAAGGCCGAGCTGTTGTAACTCAGGGATGGGTGCAGACCTCACCCTCTGGATTAGATTAGACTCAAATATGTGTTGTAGGAATCAGAGCTGGGGAATGATTTAGCTGTTTATTGAGCTGAGGTCACCGACTTTTTTGAGACTGTAGTAGTACTTTCCTCCATATGTCCTTATTTGGGCCGTGAAGGGCTGAGAAAAGGGTGCAGCCTGTGTATGTTTGCAGCCACCACTTCCTCACCTGAAAGTCCTTACTTCCTGTTAAACCCACTCTGAATCAATGCCATATGTAGTTCATGTTTGCAGAAGTATACGCCATGTAATGAAGAGAGGAACCATCAATGGTTCCTCTCTTCATGGCATTTGATCTTTGAAGGCAAAGTTCACAGCTTACACAGGCTCTTAGTGATGTTTAGTTTAGATTAGGTGGGGGTGGGCGGTAGAACTGCAGACTGCACCATGACGTGGACTTAGCTACACCATTTGTATACATCTTTTTTACAATACAAAATGGATTTTAATGGTCATATCACATAAAGTGCATAGTGGACAAACGTGAGCACACAGAACCCTTAATATACTGAAACAAGTGAACATCAGCATTTGGACATGGCCTGGTGTGACAGAAATGAAATGCAAAAGAATACGTAGGTGACAGCTGTTGGCCAGAGACAGTAATACAGGAAACCTTTTTATCGGCTAAAAAGAAAATGTCTGCAAATACTTAGGTTTTTTCAGAATGTCCCATGACACAAGCTACGCCAGCAGTTGTGTAAAACAAATCACACAACGCAGACATCAACATCTGAAATATTTTATATACATTACCCAGGGTGTCTGCAGGTCCTTGAAAAGTCTTAAAATGTCTTACAAATCATTTATAAATATTAGGACCTATAAGTTATGAAACGGTCTTAAATTTGAGTTTGTGAGGTCTTATTTGCTATGAACATTTTATCAAATTTCATTTAAGTCCACATTTCTGAAACTGTAAATCTTTAAACTTACCTCTGACCAGAGTACTGTCTTTTTATATTTTACTTTAATTATCCGTTGGCAAAATTTACATTAATTCACCATAATAACCATATTCCCTACATATAGATCATATATACTACTTACCCTCATACTTACCTGCAATGCTGTAATAAGAAAAATATGCTTTGTCCAATGATCAGTCCTAAATTTGGTAAAAGTGTCTGATACCTGTAGACACCGTTACCTACACAACAGCTGTGTATCTTCGTTTCTGCAATGGTATTTTTTTAATTCATTAATTAATTATTGTACTATTTTATTGTAACAAACTTACTTTTTTGTTAAATCTGACTTCATATCCCATCTGTCATTAAACTGTATGCTGTTGTTGGTATCTGAACTTTTAGTCACTGCTGCCCCCCTCAGGTTCCTTTTGGTTACTACCATTTATTAGTGTACTATGTGCAGTTATACAGTTGGTAGGTGGGGTTGATTGATTCATGATAAAATCTTTGACATTTATAATTTTGTCTGTTTTGTTGCTGACCTCTGTCCTGTTCATGTGCCACACAGGTGTGGCAGATTCCTGAGAATGGCCTTGTCACTTGCATGTCTGAGCCAGTGGTGGTACTGGAGGGCCACTCCAAGCGCGTCGGCATCATTACATGGCACCCAACAGCACGCAATGTTCTTCTTAGTGCAGGTAGAAGCTCCCTCTAAGCCCTTAAATCTAGAAAACTTGATGAAATTCAGTTTCAGCACGAATCTGTAAGCTGTTACACATCATGGTGGCAGCTGCCTGAAAGACAAAATATTGTGTGTGACCTGGATGTGCTGCTGTCCTGCTCACCTTTACTTCACTCTGTCGTCAGGTTGTGACAACCAGATCATCATCTGGAATGCGGGCACAGGAGAGGCTATGATCACCCTGGAGGACATGCACCCGGATGTCATTTACAACGTGAGCTGGAATCGCAACGGGAGCCTCATCTGCACTGCCTGCAAGGACAAGGCCATTCGTGTCATTGATCCCCGCAAGGAGATGATTGTTGCTGTAAGCAGATTTCAAAGATTTCTTTATTGTGATCCTCTTTTCATATTCCATTGTATATGAGAGGTAAATATTTGATAGGTGCAGTGAGTAGGTCTGGGTTCAGCAACCTTGTTCCCTTCAAATAGTCTTCGAGTATGACATCAAATTATCGCTAGTTTTAGATGAAAGGGTTTTTTTTGTTTTGTTTTGTTGTTTTTTTTGTTTTTGTTTTTGAGCTGAATAAAATGCTTTGTGATGCCACTAAACTAAAAGTAGAGCTTACACTAAAAACCTAAAGTAAACATAGATATAATAAGATAAGACGAAACCGCTTAGGAAATAGGGACTTGAGCACATAAGTGTTGTGTTGACTTGTAAACTACACTTCACAGGAGAAGGACAAGGCCCATGAGGGCGCTCGGCCCATGAGGGCCATTTTCCTTGCTGATGGCAACATCCTCACCACAGGCTTCAGTCGAATGAGTGAGAGACAGCTCGCCCTCTGGAACACGGTAATAAATATATGTCTCACTGGATTTCTACTATGGTCTGCAGATTACAAAGAGCTTTTTATTTAAGACAGCATTTAAGCTAATGCTAAAAATAAACACCATATTCAAAAAGGTATTACTATGAAATGTGCTACATTATTCACATCTATTAAAAGTGCAGTTTTACAGGCTAGCAACCACTTCTTCTGGGTTTTTTTCAAGGACATTACCTTTTCCTTGGCCCTACATTTTCTGTATTGTTAGTCTCTCCACAGAAGTAATGTGTCATTATTTATCATGCTTTTTTTATCCCTCAGGAAAAAATGGAGGAGCCCATTACTGTTCATGAGATGGACACCAGCAACGGAGTGCTCTTGCCCTTCTACGACCCAGACACCAACGTTGTTTACCTCTGTGGGAAGGTATGTTCCAGAGTTTCCCACACGTGCATTTATTTGTGGCAGCTCGCCACTGTAACAACATCTGCCATCACATTGTGATTTCTATTTTTGGAGCTGGACCATTCTTTTGGAGCGCTCCTGAAATATATATATATATATATATATATATATATATATATATACTCCTCCTGGCACAGATGGAGCAGCAGGACATCAGGCGCAATGAAAGTGAAAGTTAACCGTGCATTGCGCTGGTTCTCAAAGTTTGTTTTCACTCGTCTATGCAACAGCTGCTCCTCTCATTCATCGATTTGATTTAATCAGCTGGGATCAGATTGACTGATCAATTTCCGATCCTGTGACCATAGACTATAAAATAATGGATGTAGCCACTGTGACCATTGGTTTGTGGAGTGTTGTTTTGAAGCCCTCTTGGTTTTGTTTTTTTGGAGCCAGAAGTGACCATATTTGGAGCTGTGAATGAGCGAGGAGTGTATCTGTCACCCAGACAGCCTGTCACTCAAAACTGCCCCGCCCTTAAATATGCATAACTTTGAGCCTTAATAAAATGTTAATGCGTAAGTTATTAAAACATGTACCCCCTGTACAGTTGTCATGAATGTTGAAATTATCGATAGAGATCCAAGCTGTTTTTTTTTTTTTTTTTTTTTTTTTTTTTTTTTTGTTGTACCAGTCTGTGGGGATTGGCTGGCTTCTGAAGCCAGCCTCAAGTGGTCATTCAGTAAAACAGCAGTTTTTGGCTCTGCGGCATTGGCATCATTTTTTAGCATGGGAGGTTGCTGCTTACCTCATGAATTAATGAAGACTGAGATCCACCTACACTGTGCTCAAGGACCCCCACAGAGCTCCGAATTTAGAGAGGGGACATAAAATGACACAAAGAGACACATACGAAAACAAACAAAAAAACCCCGCAAAGCTTCCTAATTCTGTGGGAAGCACTAAGTTTAGCACCAAATGGTTTGATTTCTACACAACTGAATACAGAATTAAAACACTTCTTTATTTCTTGACAGGGTGACAGCAGCATCCGTTACTTTGAAATCACAGATGAGGCTCCATATGTTCACTACCTCAGCACCTTCACCACCAAGGAGCCCCAGAGGGGCATGGGCTACATGGCCAAGAGGGGCCTTGATGTCAATAAGTGTGAAATTGCAAGGTAAGCTTAGTGTGATGGCTAGTCAACATCTCCAGTTTTAGTTATAGTCAGCCTGATCCAATGTGGAGTTCCCAGCCTCACCACAAGGAGGCAGAACATGATCATGACTTAATCATAAATCCCTCTGAGGGCAGTAAACTGTCCTAAAACACTGTCTGTTGCCTTTGTTGTTTATAGTGTGTTGTCCTGTGGTTAATTGTTTTGATCGTTATGTTGCCAGGTTCTATAAACTGCATGAAAGGAAGTGTGAGCCTATCGTGATGACTGTACCGAGAAAGGTGAGTCCTCATCCTAAATGGCCATTTTGCACACAGTTAGCAGACCTCTAATCTGCATGTTGAATCACAGGCAGCCGAGCGAGGCCTCGTCTTATAATGAGCTGGTTATAGAGTTTTCCTCACACTCTGTTCTTGCCTGTAGTCGGACCTGTTCCAGGACGACTTGTACCCAGACACATCTGGACCCGACCCTGCCCTGGAGGCTGAGGAGTGGTTCGATAACAAGAATGGAGACCCCATCCTCATCTCCCTCAAGAACGGTTATGTCCCGCTCAAGAACCGCGAATTCAAGGTGGTCAAAAAGAACATTTTGGACAACAAGGTGACCAAGAACACAGAGAACTCAAGCCCTGCCACCAAGTCTGCCTCCCCAACTCCATCGATTGTGAGTATCTGCTTTGTCTTAAGAGCTCCAGAGTGTCTGGTTAATGTAACACAGGATTAAATTAATCGTTTGAGTAACTTTTTAAGCAGCAACAACAACAACAAACATTCTTTAATTCCAGTTTCTGAGTGAAAAGGATTTGCTGAGGGTTTTTTTGTCTTATGATTCAGTGAACTGAATATATTTGGGTTTCGGACTGTTGGCTGACCAACACAAATTGTATGAAGATGTCATCGTAGGCTTTGGGGAAACTGTTCAGACATTTTATAGACCAAATTACAATTTGACAAAATAATCTGCAGGTTATTATGATAACTAGCATATTTTTTGGTTGCAGCCCTAATGTAGTCCACATTCAACGTCCTTTTGTGGTGTTTATTCAAAAGAATAATTGACAAAGAACAAAAAAGTAGCATGATGGTCAGTAAACCGTTAATACTAATATATTTTCCAGCCTTATCACTCAGTAGATATCATGAGAAGTCAGAGTCTGACTCCCTACTACATCTCAGTCATTAATGCCCCTCACCTCTGGCTTCATCACTGTGCAGCTGCCTCTCTGGTCCTCACAGTTTCAAACAGACAAATTGTATGTGTTCGAAGCAGCGTAGATCGCTGGCTGTCTTCACGAGGTGGTTTGTAAATGTTGTTCAACCCACTCTCTGACCCACAAACTAAGGGGTCTGTTGCTGCTCTGGGCGCCTGCTGCTGGGCGTCCTGCCGCACCTCACCCACAACACAGCCGCCCGCCTAGGACCCAGCCCATGTGTCTCTCTGCAGTCCTGCTCTGTAATCACAGCCCACTGGGCTCCAGTGCTGGTGAAACATGTTAACCCTCAGAGGACCAGACCCTGCCACATGGCATGTACAGTCCAAGACTGTAGGTAGGAGCTGAGAGACAAGAGGTGTCTCGTACACTATTGTGACGTTCCTCAGGTTACTGTAGTTGTGTGTCTCTCACAGCGAGGCAGTTGCAGCACTATTGTGACAGAAACAAGTCTCACTCGTCTCTTATGTCTTCCACAGAAATCTGAAGCCAAGCTGGAGGAGATCTTGAAAGAAATCAAATCTCTCAAGGACCTGGTCAGCTCTCAGGAGAAGCGAATCATCACACTTGAAGAGCAAATGTCCAAAATTGCCATTTAGGGACCCTTTACCCAACCCGCTACAATTCAGGACGTTCCACTGGCTGGGGGGTGGGCGGGACCAGTCACTGCCTATCTCAATGACAGTGTTTCGTCTGAGGCCTGCCTAGCAACGATCCCTAGCAACATTCCAGATGAACTTTTTCTTAGCCAGCCCCCGACCCTCAGTATAACACAGGTGGAATAAAGACGTGTGGCAAATTTAGCAGAAAATACTCTTTTGCTTTTTGGTGACAAAGGACTCCTTTCCTTTTATTGTGTGGCAGTCGTTTTTTATTTTGTCTACTTGTATAAAAAAAGAGGTCTTACAGATTCCTTTGCATTTTAAAAATATGACCAGTCGAATATCAACAGTCCGCATTTGCCATTGCATACCCAAATATTTTTTTACATAGGTATCAGTGTTTCATGTTAACATACCCCAAAATTGTAATGTTGCCAAATTTGACTTTTTGTTTACACCTCCTTAACAGTATTTCTTTCTTTCTCTTTGTGGGAAGATTCAAAATGCAAACAGGGACGCTTAGTGCTGGTAATGTAAGGAGGTCATCAATAAATTACTATGAAATTAAGATAATTTAAATGAATTGGGTAGTTATGCCAGGAAGATGACGTCTCAAACTGTGTAATTAGAGGAAATAAACTCAGATTAAAGACCTGTTAAGCTGCCACAGTCTACACCGAGCACCCAGACATCACACAAATGACAATTCTTGCTGTCTGTGTTGAAGCTGCACAAATTAACTCCTGCTTTCTGCCATTTCTTCCCATTCCTGTTGCTTCCCATCATTCTGACTGTGGACAGTCGTTCACGTAAACATGCATTCCTTTCTGTCTTGCTTCATTAACACGCACAGTGTGCTGATTGGATGAAATGACAAACACATTCCACAAATCTCATCGGCAGTTCTTGGTGTTGGGGGAAAAAATACTCCTATAATGTTCTTCTCTCTGTGAACACTCTCCTGTAGTGACTCAGTTACACTGGTTGGTTGCTGTTGTAACATCTATGTGCTGCCCATGAAAAGACCAACCTCAGCTCTGCTTTGTTTTTGTGAGAGGTTCAGTCAGCGACCTCAGTGTTTAGTGTCCACGGGCTTCGCTCAACACACACAAGTGCAGTCAAGTGTAGTGGGATTATTTTTTGTCGCCATTCCTAACGCATCATATTCCATCCCAGATCTGTATCCTCTGTACAAACAAGACAGGAATTGACATGAAACGACACCAAGTAATCACACATTGACTTGACTCTTTAAAACCTTCTGGTGATAAAACTGGAGATTGCTGCAGAAACTGTTCATAATAGACCTGACAGGCCAAGATTGTGTGTGAATATGTGCCTCATGTCTTTGGTCTTTTTGGGTACCTATCACTATGGAGGTTTTGTTTCTTATTGGAGGGGAGGGTTATGAAAAGGACTCAGTAGAACGTCCAAGACTTGCCTCTAACTTGGATGAATTGAATAGTTGGGTTATTGCTTCACTGTTAATTTTAGCCTATTTCTTGTTCCAGCTGTGCTTATATCCCTCTTAGCACTTCCACTTTTGTTTTAATGGTTTATTTCTCAGATGCCCCTGATTCAGTATAGGTGTCACAAAATCAAGGAACCATTGAATTGTCCGGTCTGAGCTGTTTTAATCGGACTGATGCGATAAAAGCTCCTCTTAATGTTTTGGATTTGTTTCCCAGTGGGAAGCTGAGACGGGTAATGGTTCAGTCTGTTGTTTGCCTTCAATATTTGTTACCACTGTAAAGACCTGAAAGTGCCATAGAGGTGACCACGGAAGTGTTTGTAGGGGACTGTTGTGAGAGTAGATGTGTGTAGTAAATGGAAGAATCGATAGGTGCCCAGACTTAAAACCACTTTGAGGTGCTATGCTTAGTACGAACACCATGTTCAAAGGACACTGTTGCTAAAGTACTGTGTTAGCCACATGGATGACATCATGAAGTCCTGCCAATCCAGCCCACAGTATACTAGGCAGCATTACTTGTTGGGGTTTAATAATCAACCTTGACATTTTGACACTTTTCCACCTCGGTACGGGTATTAAAACATCTTCAAAACTGATGTCAAACCGAGAAGCAGCCTTTTGAGTCATCGTGGCTTTGAGATGCAATTTAAGCAGCGAGTCGTAGAATATTAGTGACAGGAAATCAAGTGCTACAGAAATGTGTCTGACACAAATTATGCTGCCCTATCTTGTATATCAGACTGCCACTCTATGGATTGTTTGTAGCACTGTTGGCACGAGAGCGAAGTTTGGAGGAGTAGTAGTGAATAGCGATCCAAAGGGACACTGTAGGTTGGAGAAATGTGCAGTTGAAAGATAGATGTATGTTTGTAATTTAGGTCTAGGAAACCGAGTGAAAGCTGTGTAAATAACATGACCATATTTTCTGTATTTTTCTTCTTCTTTTTTTTTAATTTGATTTCTGTTTTGTGGTTGTGCTGAAGAGGGTATTTGTGTGGGAGGTGGGTTTTAAATGTTTCCCCTTGTCTTTGTTCCCTGCACCTTGCCATAATGCATCATGAGAAAAGCAGAACCTCCGTTAATGCTGGAGGTTGTATGAATATCAAGAAAGTTAAATCAGACGAAAATGAACCAGGACGGAGCCTCGTGTCGGAGGTCTGCTCAGCATTTTTGTTCATTATTCTTGCTTCAAGTATCAAACATTGATTATAAGAAAAATTAATAAAGAATTTTTAAAATGGGTTCGTTGTATCTTTTCCATTCAGTCACTGCTGTCCTCAGATGTGTCGTCTTCACTGAAAAGATTTTAAGAGAAACTTTGGAAACTTTTAACTTTTTAACTTTTTTTTGTGCAAGTTAAAGGTCCAGTGTGTAGGATTCAGAGGCATCTGTTGGCAGAAATGGTATATAATATTCACAACTGTTTACATTAGTCTATAATATAACATGAAAATAAGAGTCATTGTGTTAACGTTACCTTAGGGTCAGCTGTTTGTCTGTTGTTGTACCGTAGCCTGGAACGGACAAATCAAACACTGGCTCTAGATAATGGCCATTTGGGGGAGACATTTAAGTTCTGCAACCTCACCGCTGTAGATGCCATTAACTGCTACACACTGGACCTTTTAAAAGTTCATAGTTTGATTACAACAAACCTGAGCCTGAACTGAAACCAAGAGGAAGACGTTACAGGAAATAAAGCTTCTTTAAAGGATAGGGCTGACATTCTCCTATATTTTAAGAAACAGACCATAAGCAGCAATGTGTTAGTCCATCTCTGTAATTTACACTTGGAAGTTTTCAGGAATCGTCACTCAAACAGGAGAAAATAATGTATTTGTACTGCACTATTTTCAGCTGCAGATAATACACACTGAGTACGGTGGTGTATGGGCAATAATCTGTTGGTTTGTATCATCATACAGGAGTTACAATTCAATATATTTTGATACCCTAAGCAAGATGACAGCTTGCTTTTTTCTAATTTAGATTTATTGTGTTACGAACACACCATCATATGCATAAAAAGTTTACTTTTATTATTTATATGTGAGCAAAGGCATTAAAATTTGCCCATCAGATCATGCTTGCATGATTCTTTAGGTAAACAAAATAAGAAAATGAAAAAACAAAACAATTAAGAATCGATACAGTATTGCAAAACATAATATCGCAATACTCAAGTGTATCAGTATTTTCTTACACTCACAAGTTGTGTTTATGGACAACATGTGTGACTAACTCAAAATAAACATCAGTTCCCTTTTCCATGGTAAAGAAGGAGCAAATCAGCTGAAGCAACAGCGTGGCTCATTTATGTGTTTTTAATCTTTTTAGGACAGTTATGCAGCTATATGGTACAGAGCAGAGGAATAAATGATATCAGGCTTTGACTACATAGAAAATACTTTTATATAGGATCCGTTTGGTTTGATTGTTTTCATTGGATTTGATGGCAATAAGTAAAATATTGCCAACCTTTTCATTTTAAAGATCATCCATCCATCCATCCATTTTCATCTGCTTCTCCGAGGCCAGGTCGCGGGGGCAGCAGGCCGAGCAAAGCATCCGAGACGTCCCTCTCCCCAGCAGCACTTTCCAGCTCCTCCTGGGGGACCCCAAGGTGTTCCCAGGCCAGGTGAGATATGTAATCCCTCCAGTATGTTCTGGGTCTACCTCAGGGCCTCCTACCTGTGTGCCTAAAACACCTCTAATGGGAGGTGCCCAGGAGTCATCCTGATCAAATGTCCGAACCACCTCAACTGACCCCTTTCGACACGAAGGAGCAGCGGCTCTACTCCAAACTTCCTCTGGATGTCCGAGCTCCTTACCCTATCTCTAAGGCTGAGCCCAACCACCCAATGAAGGAATCTCATTTCGGCTGCTTGTATCCACGATCTCATTCTTTCGGTCACTACCCAGAGCTCATGACCATAGGTGAGGGTTCGAAAGCTCATTTGCATTTTCAATGTAAATAAAATGCATTAAAGATCAGATTACAGTTTTTGCTCTGAAAATTAAACATGTGCAGGGTCGGGTCACATTACTATGAAATGTAGACAGTTACTGAATACAAATTATATAGCAATTTTTTGCATTTAATATCAGAATCCATTGTATTGGGGGAAAAGTAATGTCTGAATACTATGGGTTTATTTAAAAATAAAGCATTGAAAATATCACAGCTGCTAAAATAAATGGAGGCAAACACACAAAATAAAATTTCATAAAAATTATTTTTTTTCCCTCTTTAAACATCTCAAAACATTTCCAGTACAAATAAAGCAGCATTTACAGTTGGTCAAATCAAACGACCTTCATCAATTATAGCAACAGGTTGAAGCCCTTGTCAAAGAAACCCAGTATATCAGACGTGTTGTCCATGCGTTAAAAGACCTGTGTGTAGGATTTAGTGGCAGCTAGTGGTGAGGACTGAAACTTTTTGGGTTTGCCAAGCATGTAGGTGAACTATTGTGGCTGATGCAAAAATGCAAAAACAAAATGGCCCTGTCTGGAGCCAGTGTTTGATTTGTCTGTCTTGGATTACTGTCCAAACAACATGGCGGACTCTGTAGACAAGGACCCACTCCGCATGTAGATATAAATGGCTCATTCTAGGGTAAAGAAAACACAACAGTTCCTATTTTCAGGTGATTATAAAGTAATGAAAATATAGTTATGAATATTATACATTCAAATTCTGCCAACATGCCTCTAAATCCTACACACTGGACCTTTAACAGAGCATTAGTTATCATGAGAAATGTTTAAAAATTGAGACATAATCAAAAATGTTATCAAGTAATCCTTGACAATGAGACTATGATATAATTACACGTTTTCAAATGTAATCTGGGTTGATTATAGTTACTTATTTTTTGTAAACTGTTACTATCCCACCCTGCATGTACCTTGTGCTTTGTTTCAAACATTGCCGTTCACTTTTATTGACTGAGCCCGACTGTACCGTCCAACAGTTATAAAACAGATCACAGACATAAAATAGATAATGAATGGAGTTGTACTGTTTAAACTAAAGTTAGCCACAGAACTGCTATTGTGTCTTTGCCACCAAAAATAACCAAACACACTGTCTGCCAGTGTCTGTTGCACCTTAAATTAGACACACAGAACTATTGCAAGCTGCAAAGCTGGCACTCTTTACAACAATGTGTGAAAAGTAGTGTGAAGAATCCCTCTCTCTAGTTTCTTTATTGCGTCCTGATCTTGGGAAATTGTTGCCTTATGTCACAAAATCTCATGCTGACCAGCTATGATATTAACATCTCACACCACCACCTGTCTAAATAACTGCATAAAATAAGAAAGCAGGCATCAGCAGCCTCAAATAGACAACCTGCGTATTTAGAGACGCATCCAGAGATAAGTGGTGCCAAAAGACCATGAAGTTTATATATGTTCACTCTGTACATGTGTTTTGGGATGAAAGGGGTTGCTTTCTCTCTGCGCTGGTCTTGTGTGCCCTGTAGAGACAGGCTGTAATCAACTGGGACGTAATTAGAGAGGACTCGGTGGGAGGCAGAGGAGTCTTGGGACTCGCCCCGCCAAGTACAGAAATACCCATTCCCTTAAAACATGGGACTCTTGCACTGACTGCACCTCTTTGCAGCAAGTTTCCAAGCAGAAAGCTTAAGTTTAATAAGTCCAACTTAAACAAAATCAGCACACATGGTGGTAAATTACACTTTCAAACAAGATAAAGACCCTTTCCAGAGACAGTTCAGCATCACTCCATGTATGAGAAAACATCAGGTACAGAATCATCTCTACGTGGCTGCTTCCTCTCTCATACTGTAATGCAGAAATAAATGTACAGGGAAAAAGGCCCCATGAGTGCAGGAGGATGAAGAGTGGGCATGGGAGGTTGAGAAAGAGGGAGGAGAAGCTGAAAATAGAGGGATGGACATCAGTTTGCAGGGAGCAGACTTTTTAGAGCTCAGTAAAAAAAAAAAACAGTCTGTATAACTCAGCAGGGAGGGCGGATGCTCGGAAACTCTCTTTCACTCTTACTTTCCTCTTGTTACTTTGTCTCCCCTTTATTTTCCTCTCTGTCATCCGCACTGCGTGGTGCTGTCCGGAAGATAAACCAAGGATAACCCATTCTGTAAGTATATATTTTTATTTGAAGATCATTTAAAGTGGGTGTTATTGAGCAAGTTAAAACTACAGATGATAATTTAATTTATTTCAAAGCGGTCTGTGAATCCAAACTCACAACATGTTGAGTTCAGATTTCATCATCCATTTGGTTCACACTGATTTAAGTTAGTGAATAAAACTACCATGTGGTGGAATGTGACCAAGTGCATTTATTCCAGTATTGTAATTCTAAAATACTTTTAATGACATTGAGTATTTCCATATCGAGCTGCTTTATACTTCTGCACCACCTCATTTCAGAGAGGGATGCTGTACTTTATAATCCATTACATTTATTGAACAGCTTCAGTTACTTTACAGATTTTCTGTTTATAGGACATGATGCATTATTACAGATTAAACCTCCCAACAATGTATTAAGTAGTTAAATTAGCTTTTATATAGCAATTTGACAGCCATGTCAACAAGTATATGTACATTTAATACCTAATTTCCAAATACTTTTGCAGTTTTACTTAATTTAGATTTACAATGCAGTGCTTTTACATGTATTAGAATATGTTTGCAATGTTGTATTGCTACTTTAACTTATGTAAAAAATACCTGAAGGCTTCTTTTAGCCATGCTAATGTCAGATTTTTTCCTTATATCTGTTTACATCATCAGTGATGTAATTAATGTTTATCCTATTTGACTAATCTCCAACTTTTTTTACTCTCAATGCCAAGGTTACTAAGTGTAGACACTGACAAAGTTTATGTAAGAATATGTTTGAGATGGTCAAACCTCTGCCAGTTACTCCATTTTTGCAAATTTGTGTTGGCTGGGCTAGCATTGTTAAATATTTACCTACCTTTATTTTCATCGAGGCTCCAACTTGTCCAAAACTACCACATATGTCAGACTGAATTTGGGTAAATGTGTAATGAATAATGGCCAATGCATTTCTATTTGATGTAAAGATGCATCTATGAAAACATGACGTCTTGGGTTTGAAAAGCATTTTGTAAATTTAATAAACACTTGGAGACATTAAGCACTCCAATGTCATGAAACTGATTCATTGCATATGTGGTGTTTGAAGGCCTTCAACTGAAGGTAATGTTAACCCTCCAGTGAA